GAGCGCCGCCCGAGACCATCAGGGCGCCCACTCCAAGGTCCCCGAGCCCCCTGGTGCCCATCTGTGAGCCAAGTCTCGAAGCCCCTACTTCTGACCCCTGACCCTCGCCCCGGAAGTCCGGGTGACTCGGAAGTTCCGGCTCAGTCGCTAGGAAACAGGCGGGCCCGACGCGGGGGGCGGGGCTTCTGGCCTCGGGGCTCGGAGAAAGGCAGGTGAGGCAGGTGAGGCCGTGGGGGCGGCGCCGAGCCCCGGCGGGGCCCGACCTGGGGACCCCGTGCATATGGGTGTCCCCACCAGTCGGGGGCGGTCCCCTCTCATTATCCCCAGGCTTAGTGGATGCCGAAACATGTAGCTGGACCCTGCACCCACAGAACCCTGCACATATGGGACCCCACATGCATATTGGGTCCCCCCTTGCACCCTGACTCCACAAGCACAGGATATCCCTCATGTGCACAGAATCTTACAAGCACACCAAACCTCACACATGCTGTCCACTCACCAGGACTATGTACCACACCCCTCCCATACATATAGGGACCCACCCCACACATAAACAGGACCTCATGACTGCTCATACACCAATTCTGAAAGCATAGGGAACCTCCCCTCACATGCACTTGGCCCTACATGTGCAACAAAAAGAATCCCTCATGTACTGGGGGCCCTCTAAGTCCCAACCTCCTACAAGGAATGGGGACCTTATGCACATCGAGGGTACACATACCTCTAGCTTGCACACAGGAGGCCCATTTCTCCCTCAGACCCTCCTATAGGGTCCTCCCCCACTTCAGCCCAGCCCCATCTGTCCTACCATTCCCGACCCAAGGGCTCACTCCCTGACATGCAGCCTGAGTCCTTTCTGCCTGCCGGCCTTCAGTCACCCCTGCTTTTTGTCTTCTAGTGACCATCCTGTTTTCAGGGTCACCCCCAGTTTCTCCATTTCCTTTCCCACCCAGCAGCATCCCACTGGTGTGCTGGAACTCCTGTGGGGTCAGACCAGCTCTGGGCAGTGGCACTGTGTGAGTCCCTTGTGTGTGAGGGGAGCTTGGTGAACTCCCAGGCAAGGAGCCTCCCCCGGGAATGAGCTGTGGGGTGAGCCTGGTAGGCCCAACCGCAGCGTCTGTGGGAGCCAAGATAAGAGAGGGTCTAAGGGTAGGGAGGCGCGGGTGTGAGGGGTGCCAGGTCTGTGTGGAGGGGTCCTCAGACGAGTTCATTAGGCATCCAAGTGGTTTGGACCAGGGAGATGGGTGCTGACCACTAAATCCCAGGGACCCAGCAGGATGGACCAAGCCAGAGGTGGTCAGGCACGTGAGAGTGGACGGGATGTGCTCCTGCCACACATCCTGCTCAAGCTACTGGGAATATACAACCGTAAGCGGTGGGCAGGGAAGTGTGGTAGAATGTCCATGTTTCTGCTGCCTGCCCACCCAGACCCATGTGGGGTGTGATGCTGTTCCCCACTACTCCCATCTTCTGCACCTCTAATCATACCCTCCCTGCGTCTTTTCTTCCCATTCCCAGGAGAATGAACAGTAAGAAAGGGGGGGCCAAAGCTGCATCAGGGAAGTGGCAGACATCACCCCCTTGGCCCAAGCCAAGAGCTGCTGTTGGTGAGTACACCCTTTGACCCCAGGGCACTGCCACTCAAACACTGACCTGTGACCCCCTGCAGCCATGAGACCCCCTCTAAGAAGGCCCTTCCCTCCGAGAGTGGTATCCAGGGATCTCTGAATGGGGCTTGGGATGGATATGCTCACGTTCAGAGCCCAGATGCCACCCCAATCCCTGGCCTTGAGCCTTGCACCTTTGGGGCTGTGGTAAGGGCTGGGCACAGCTTTAGAATCCATGCCGATGGGAAGGGGCACACATGGGTGAGAGGGCCCCCATTGTTGAAAACAGTTTTGAGCCGGGCATGGTGGCTCAACACCTGTAATTCCAGCTACTGGGGAGGCTGAGGCAGGAGGATCACAAATTTAAGGTCAGACTCAGCAACTTAGTGAGACCCTGTCTCAAACAAACAAAAGGTTGTGGATATTGCTCAAAGGCAGGATGCTCCTGGGTTCAATCCTCAACACCACTGCAACAAAGCAGCCAGCTTTGAGAAAGGTCTTGGCTCCAAGTTGGGAATTCTTAGGCTAAGTTCAATAATTGGTCACTTCTCTTCTGTGGCTGGAAAGGGACAGCTCACCTGGGCTAGCTCCTGCTGAGCACCAGGAAAGGGACCTCCCCGTGCCCACCCTACTTCAGCAGTTATCACCCCTGCTCTAAGTGCCATTCACTCTCTGTCACTGCTGCTAATACCTCCCAGGTGGCATCTCTTGGCCCTCTGCTCCCAGGCCTGCCTGGGGTCTGTGCTTGGTGAGAGAGCACGGACCCACCCCACATGGGGCTCTACAGCTTGAGCTGGGCCCAGCCCAGAGAACTCCACTGCCCAGGATCTGGAGGGGTGGTGGTGACTCCTCCAAACCAAGCCAGGTTTAGATCCTAGTTACCTAAAATAGCCCCAGCTGCGTCTGAGGCGGACACTCCTCCTGGAATGAGGATAATGGGCCCAGGGACCGCGTGCTGCCTCTGTGATCTCAGGCCCTGGTACTGCACTGCAGTAAACAGGGGGCGGGACAGGCCGACCTGAAGCTGTCTAGGAAACAGGGGCTGGGGGTAGGGGAGCATGCTCCTTGCTCTGCTGCCTGGAGAGCAAGCCCACCTAGGCTGTGTATGCCTCAGCCTGCCCACTGCCCAGGCTCCCTGACCTAGGATGTCTGGGTTCTCTGTAGGGACAGCTTTGTCGCTGAACAAGTGCCCTCCCTTGGCAGCTTCTGCCCACTAAGCACTGGGAAACCTAGGTGGACTGCGTCCTTGGTCTTGGCAAGGCCCTGTGCAGCCCTGCCAGCTTCCTTTGGCAAATATGAACACAGCCCACAGAGCTCCTCAGCCAGCCTGGCCTCTGGGCCCTCACAGATCTGTCGGATGCAGTGACCACCATACCCACAGGCTGTCCTGGGCCCCTCCTCACACCCTCTCCAGGCCTTACCTGGCCTTGGGTCTGCAGTGCCTCCAGGCCCTCACTCCGGAGCTGCTCCAGGGCCACGGCCAGCTGCAGCCCCTCCATGTGCACCCAGGCCTGCTCCTCCTGCAGCTGCTGTAGCCACAGCTGCTCCTCCTGCAGCTGCTGCAGCCATAGCTGCTCCTCCTGCCACAGCTGCATCTGCAGCTGGACCTGTCGCCGCCGATCCTCCAGCAGCAGCTGCTCCTGGGCCAGGCACAGCTGGACTTCATGGAGCCTTAGCAGTTCGGGGCCCAGGGCCGGCATGGGGCCCCCTGCTTCATGGCCCTCCATGTGCTCAGGGAGGACCAGCACCAGCTCAGACCCCGCAGCAGTGGCCTGCACTGGCCTCCAGGCTGCCTCTGGCTGCTCTGTCCTGGCTGCCCTGGGGTGTCCCTGAGAAGCCAGCTGTGTGCTGGTCACGTGCCCTGTAGAGGCCACCCTGGCCTGGTCCCAAGGGCCCCCTGTAGCGGGGGGCGGGGGCTCAGCCCCGGGGCCCTGCTGCTTGGTGGCCTGTGGGGCCCTGCCTGCCTTCCTGCCTCGGGGCTTGCGAGCTCGACCCCGCTTCCCAGACATGGTCCTGGATCCCGGGCCTCTTTCCCCAGGTGTGCTCCCCAGGAGGGCCTGCTCATCCACTGGCTGCCTCAGTAGGCAGCTCAGGGGGCATCCAGAGGCCCCGGTGGGCTGCTTGCTCCCCCGCCACAGTCAGCCCTGGGCTCCTGCCGTCCCAAGTGCCTTCCCTGCCCCTTGGCCGGCACCGTAGCACCGCAGCTCCTGGCTCTGCCTAGGGCCTCACAGGCCCACTCAGCAGGGCTGGGCCACGCCAGGAGTTTATAGGGACTGGCGGCACGGTGGCTCACCCAGGCCCAGGAGCTGACTAACGTGCTGACACAGGGCACAGGACTGACGGGCCCCGGGCCTCGCTGGCCAGACTGGGAGGGAGACTGAGAAACTGGAGGCGCCGCAGCAGCTAGACCACAGTGCGCCGCGGCCTGCCTGGTCCTGCCTGGGCGGCACCCAGGCCCCTCACGCTCCCCGCCCCACCCCTGGTCGCGGGAAACTTAAATTCCAGCCATAGGGCCAGGAGCTGTGTGCTGGCCACACTGACCATCAGGACCCAGTCCCTCCCTGGGCGTAGACCATCCCAGTGGGGTCCCAGCCCACCTGAGCACTTTGTGGGTAGCATGCTCAGTGGAGCCCCCCTGGGGCTTGGGCTCGCCTGGGTTCTGTGGAGGAACAGGGTCCCACTGTCCGAGCGTCGTGGTGTCCAGCGGCCCTGTGGGTTGGGAAGACACCAGTTCTTCAAAGGCCCAGAGAAGGTTTTGAGGACTGAGACGGGCAGAAAGGAAGAGGCTGGTCTGCTCTTGTGAGCAGGTGGGACCTAACTGGGAGTCCAGCTCCCCTGCCCATTGAAACAGCCCAGGAGCCGTCACGAGTCCTGCCTGTGGGTTTCCCCGGGTGGCATGGGGTCCAGGGCCAGCTCCAACACTGGCCTTTCTGTTGGAAGGTGAGGCCTTAGATGGCCTCCTTAGTGTCTCCCCTGCCAGGAGAGGGGTGCTGCTGACACCCTCCCACCCCAGGCCCCACCCCAACCAGCCCGCCACACTGGCTGGACTGGTTTGCCTGGCCCATCCCCGCACCACACTCCTCCTGCTCAGCCCAGCCCAGAAGCTCAGAAGCAGACAGGAGTTCCTGCCTGGAATCAATGAGTTGGACAGAGATGGGAAGGGCTTGGAAGACAGAGGGACCCTGTTCTGACCACAGGGTGGGGGACAGTATGGGTGCAGGGACCAGCCTGCAGCAAGACTGCAAGAGGGCCAGCAGCATGGTGGTCCTAACCAGGCTGCACCATGCCCACCCAGGACTCACAGGGCCTGGGCTTCCCATCCCAAGTTCAGGGCAGCTCTGCCTGCTGGCCCTGAGGGTGACCCAAGTCAGGTAGGCTCTGCAGTTGGAGGATGCTGTGGGGCAGCTCATTAATGTCTCAGTCATGGCACTACCTCCGCTGTGGCTCCCTGAAGCTGTGACACAGCAGCCCTGCAGGTGTCCCATAAATATCTCCTGAGGTTGATGGGTGTGGGGGACTTTCAAACCCAGACCACCCTGACTGCAGCTCTCCCCAGGGAGACGGGGAGAGAACCGCCAGTCGCAGAGGAAGACAGGCCGAGAGCCGAGGGGGCCCACACCCCAGGAGACCCTTGAGGCCCCTGCAGTGAGCGCCTGCCCCCGTATCCGCGTCCTCTCAGAGGGCAGGCGGGCATGGTATGTGCGAGTGCGCAAGTGCGCATGTGCCGGTATTGGCGGGGACTCGTGTTTACAGGTGTTCGCAGGTTGGGGCGCAGGTCCGCAGCGCGTGCAGCACTGCAAGCCCCTCCTGTTCCTCCTGCCTGTGCCTTTGGTACGAGGGAGCCTGCGATGGGCCTGAGTGGCCTGTCAGGGACGCCCTGTCCCTCCACTTCTCCGGCCTTCGTGGTGGTTGGGGGTCACCTGATCTGCGTGCGTCGCCGGCAGGAAAGGTGCTCCCTCTGGGCCCCGCGTTCTCCCAGGGCTCCTGTCCCGGGCCTGCTCACCCTGCCCTCTTCTCCGGCTCACCTTCGGCTCAACCCTGCATTCACTGCCGCCAAGCCCCCTCCTGGGTGTCCTGAAGCTCCCCCCCTTGTCCCAGATGGGTCCCCGGGGATCGCCCCCGCCACCAGGGGGCTCCCTGCGTTCCCTGTTCTCCCTCCCTGGGCTCCCAGCTGCTCTCCTGGGGCACTGCCTCCCACTTTGCTTCTTTTAGTAGAATCCTCAGAGGAGAGGAAGCAAGTGGCTCTCCCATCCCATAAAGGCACCCCTACACCATCCCTGAAAAAGGACCTGGGGGCCAGAGAAGGTCTGTGAGGACTGATGCTGTTTTATGATAATTGCATATGCCTGACGGACTGACCCCTGTGGACAGTGCGAGGTGGAGACAGATGAGTTGGGAGAATGCCCTGAGTAGGAGATGGTGCTTGAAGGCAGGCAGAATGCTAGGTAGCAGGGTGCAGGCCAGGCTGGCCCCAGGGCAGTGTGCTCAGCAGGGCCAGCACCACAGCTGTCCATGCTGCGGTCACCAGTTGTTTCCACGTCCCAGTGAGAAAGCCACTGTCAGGCCTGTTCTTAGGGTCAGGGGAGGGAGTCTTGGATGTCCCCATTCTGCTCTCTGTCCTGGGAAGTGGGCCCTATCGGGCTGACCCCATCCTGCATGAAGGCCAGCTGCTCTGCAGGGCATGAACCAGGACACCACCTATAAACCCAGCTCGCTGGCCGGCTCTTGTTGCTGGATCGTGGGTCCCAGCTCAGAGAAGTGCTGTTGGGGTGCTGGGGCTGTGCGTGTCTGAGGAACCTGTAAGTACGTCCAGTAAGATGTCCAGTTTGGCTGGAGGGAGGCTGCTCCTTCACAGTGGAAGGCACTGCTTGGAGCTGCCCCATCTCTGGTGCAGGCTTGGTCCGCACTGAAGTTGAGGGCACCTGTAGGCACCACCCTGTGGTGGTGTCCAGGCTTATGCACTATGGGAGTGAGTCCTTGTGTCCTTTGCCTCAGGGACT